TACACAGCTCAAGTTGAAAAAATTTCTTTTTTTTCTCCTAATTATTGCTTTTTTGGGTCCCAGACTCACCTCGGTCCAAATATCCAGGTAAAAAAATTTGTTTTAAAATTACCTAGTTAAAAAAATATTACCTAGGTAAAAATCAAATTTACCTGAAGAAAAAAATTACCTACAACATATATGTACAACCAAAAATTCAAATCTTAACCAGGTGGATAATTTAAATTAATATATCCTACATTACTTTACAACATTTACATGCTATAAACACCCATACAGCATGGACTCTAGGTATTTCAGTCTTATTCTGGTAGTTGATCTGTAGAAAACTCACCATTACTCAAGCCCAGCCACAATTGCTTGTGATCTTTCTTTTGCATTGAATTTATAACTTGGGATCTGTGTTTCAAATTATCAGCCTGCAAAATAAACGAAAACTTATTGCTGCACAAAATCCACCACTGAATAAACATAGAAAACAAAACAAAACTATGCCTTTCATAAAGACAACAAAAAACAGTTCAGTATATACTGTCTTGTAAAAGAGTCAACATAAGCTAGGTACGTAATAGGTTAGGTTGCCAAAGAAAACTTTTAAGATCTCTTAAAAGAGTAAGCAAGAAGCATGAACCCTTTACCAAGTATTGTCTATAAAACACCTTGCAATTTTGTGACATTGATATTCAATAATTACCTCCTTGACAGCAGACATAAAATGTGCTTCTATGGCTTCCTTTCCAGAACACCTCATTACCTCACTCTCGGGAAATCTCTACATATTTAAACAAAAACCTCTTGTTAACCTACTGTGAGGTTTACATGTATACCATAAGTTATTGAACCAAGAAAGAGAGTCACATATCAAATGGCCAGGGATACTCATCATCAAGCACTTAGGGGTATAAATCAAGGATTCTTGTCTCACTTAGGGTGTTGATGACAAATTGTGACTATTTTAACTATCAAAGTATCTTTTAGGGTGCACTCCAAGAAACTAGATGCTCTAAGAGCGTTTACTCAGGCTTCGTACCACAGTATTAAATCTTACTTTACGAAAACGCGTATTAGACACAATAAAAGCAAATTAAAGAATCAGGATATTTTGGCACAAGAGTTCCACTTAGATATTTACTATTCAAGTTGCTTGGTTGAGTATCCTCATCCTATCGCAAGTTGTGAGTTTAAACCATTTTGGTTCAAGAATGAAGCACAGCTGTCTACGCATCGATGGAGAAGTTGTTGGCAAAGAATTTTCGAGGTCTTTTTACAACTTATGGCGATTAGTTTGTACATGCTAGCAGAAATTGTACGAAGTTTGTTTACTGGTCGTGGCGATCCGAGTAAATTGTGTAGCTGAACATCTTTGCCATGTTGTGATCTTAAACCCTTTTCAAGAGTCATATCTCCTTTGGAGAGCGAATAATCCCTTTGGAGAGAGCCAAAACGAATCATGATAAACTCCTTCGCAAAAACAACGGTCCTGTGACTAGGCTCAAATTGCATTGCACATAATTTGCATAAACTTTCAAGTTGTGTATTTTGCGGATAACTTCCAAGAATTTGCAACCCTTAATGCAGTTTACATGTATGAAGAAATATTCAAGCTACATATTTTTATTGAATCAAGGCAAGAGTATTTTTAAAAGGACTCTCATTTTTAAGGGAAGATGTGGCATTCTGTTTTGCTATTTATTTTGGTTTCATGCTTGTGTAGTCCATGTCATGCAACATGATTTTCTTTTGCAGTCAGACACAGTTTTCTAAAAGAACTGGCGATTGCTAAGACTGCTAAATATATTTGAACTACTAGTGAAATAACTGGATTAACTATCGTCAATGCAGATTTCCTTAGGACTTGGCAAGAACATTGGTTCATCAATAATCCCACACAATTCCTCGCACAATCGAAGGTTTAATTCTCCCGCACAATGTGCCTCCAAATTCACACGTTATGTTTTTTTTCCTGTACCCTACTAGAAAGCCAACTAACTTGGAGGTAAGATATCTAATTCAAGTTACCAAAAGTCTTATCTTTACAACTTTGGAGATCGACATATTTTGCGCAGTGCAAGAAACAAGTGGCATGTTTTTAATGAGCTACGAGTCCAAAAACGTTTTCATATTTAGCTGGTTTTATTGCAATATGATTTGCTTTACTGCAATGTTCTAAATAATAACAGCAGTAGCCAAATACAGTCATTGACTGCCTATTTTTTGCGAGTGTTTTCATAGATTGAACTCATACCGCAATCAGCTCAGTTGTTATCTCATGAGAACATTTTGAGCGTGAACTTTGCTTACCTGGCTGGCTTTCAAGCAATATAATTCGTGGACCAACCCTTTCTGAAAACAATCGACATCTTTGTATGTGAGATGAATGTATAAGGCGCGATTCTTGCCAAAACTTTCTTCACAAAACACCGCATTCTGTGACAAAGAGCGAGGAATGTCACGTTTCTTGTCCCCAGTTTCCATGGTCTATACATGGAACGCCTGGAACCATGACCCCCCTTTTGGCACCAAAACGCTTGCATTTTATGACTCGGGCTTTCCTACGGAAGCCCGAGTAATACTACTAAAAGAAATGCCTGTATTTCCATTTTTAGGCTCCATTTCCCCTGGTCTCATGAGTCCAGTTTACTTGCCCTAGCTCTTTCCTATACAGCAGCTGGTAATCAAGCATATTCTGTTTAAAGTGGTATCTTTTAGGGGTCAAATAAAACTCAAGCAACATCCAGATTGATCTCCATTAGGGGTTTAATTCAAATTTTCCAACAAACATTGACGCGACCTTTTCACATAGGTATGGGAGTCCCCTTCCCCCACCCTGGGGTTATAGAATGAGTGTTTTGCTCTTCTTTTATAAACCACGTAAAGTACATACATGTACAGTTTGTATTTGGAATAAAAGAACCATAAATTGTGGAGAAGTATGATTTAGTTATTACTTTTGAACATACTGATATTTCTAAAGACAGAACAGGACTTTTTGATTCAAAGATATGTACTGTAAAGTTCATTACCTGAAAGTGAACTGTGAGATTCCATGGTAGAGAAGCTGATGAACCATACAAGTCAAACAGTACACCAATAGGATAATGCCTACAGTGATGAATTACATAATTATATCAGCATAAGAACTAATGTGTAATGCACAAATATGTTGGGGGACTATGTACATGTACATTTCAAGCCACTAATAATTGGCCTCACTCTAAAATACAGGTACATTATAAATGATCTGTAATTGTTATTAATAGGAGGACTCTTATAAAGCTAACTCTACTAGTCTCTTAAAAGTTTTAAAACATCGCTGATGGTTCCATTTGTCTATATATGTACAAAGAATTACATGGCTTTGCATGGTATTAGAGCTTTAGAAAGGACATCCAGCTCTCTGCCTCTTTACAGTTCAAGATCTAACTTTTTGACTTTTTTTAGCACTATCTTTTAACCCATTTAATTTGTAAGGTATCTCATAGCCTATCAAAAAGTTGCTAGTATAAACGATTTGTATTATCAATATTAAACAGATCAAATGTAATAGTTGTAGTAATATATTTTTTGAATATTTCTGTAATTTCTCTTTGAAACTGTTCTTCAACTTACCAATAGTATTTCAATCTGCAGCTACACCAACCGAGGTCACTTAAACAAACTGACCAATCACAGTGCAGGACACAAACAATGAATTCAAACTAAAGTCGTTTTAGCCAATCACAAACATGGGAGGACGATGGTTTGAATTTTTCTATTATTTATTTTATTTCATTTTTTTAATTTAATATCACCACTTACCTATACAATTTACATTACATTGGCTAATACAATAGATGTAATACAGCTAGGGGAAAAGAACAGTACTGAATAAACGAATAAAAGAAAAGAACAAGTTAAAAAAAAATAAGAAGAACAAAAAATAAATTACAAGATATAAATTGAAAGGCACCTAAGAATTACTTACTCACTTTGTTTGAAATAAAAAACTGGCTTTGCTGAAAAAAAATTTATTATATTCTTGTAACTAAATGTTCTGAACAGCAAAAAAAGAACTAATTGAGATGTTTCCGGTGATAAAGATGGCAGTAAATCGAAAACGTGGCTTGTGCAAGGTGGCTTGTACCTTCCCAACAACAAGTTGCCTCTGACGTTTCATGAGAGAGTTCTTGATTTATATTACGAATTAAAAACGTTTCTCAGTGGCAGATAGCACTGTCAGTTAACCAGAACCAAATTTATTATGTTATTGTAACTAAATGTTCTGAACAGCAAAACAAAGAACTAATTGAGATGTTTGCGGTGATAAAGATGGCAGGAAATCAAAAACATGGCTTGTGCAAGGTGGCTTGTACCTTGTTTCTCAGTGGCAGATAGCACTGTCAGTTAACCAGAACAAGCTTGCACTTTGTCCAAAATGTTACAAACTTGTCTCTTAATCCTACAAGGTCTGTATGTCAGACAGAAAATGATGGACAATGTTGTTGACTTTATTGAAATGGAAAATGTTTATTGAAATGTTGACTTTATTGAAATGAACTCGCATGAAGGAACGTCCAGCCATCGCAACTAGCCCTGGCAGTCACACTGGGAAGCGAAACAATGACTGATGATGTTTTGAAATCCACTTGAAGTTGAAGGCTCAATTTTCTGCTGTAGAGAACTGTAGAACACGGTGGTTCCAGACAACAGAACAAGTGAAAGAAGGAACAAAAGGCTGCCGAGTTGTATCTTTTTCATATTCATATAGTTCTATTTCCTGTCAAATGTAAAGTATTTGTGTAGTAGATTGTGACATTTCTGAACTAAACCACTAAATATGTGAAGTAACAAAACAAGACGTTTGAATTATATGTTTCAAACCAGCCAAAGGCTCTGTTGTTTGTTGTAGTCCATGACAATTTTAAGTTGTTCTTGCCATCGTAAATGTTGGTAAACTGTTGAGATTGAGTTATATGTATTTTCCATAAATTCATTCTATGAGGTTCATGGTGTTCACTTCTGCACATGTAATATCTTGACTGTATAAAATATACATGATGTACAAGGCTCGAAAAAAGCGCCATCCCATTGCCCTGGACTAGTAGATTTTCCTTCTGGGCAAGTAACTTTACATTCTCACGTGCCCAATGGGCAAAAGACCAAGCAAGTCATCCACCAACTAAATCGTTAAAAGGGCAAAGTAAGACTTGCCATGGGCAAGCAAACTTTAAGAGATACTTGTCCCAAGGGCAAGTTGGAATTCAAGTTTTTTTCGAGCCCTGCATAATGTATAAAATAAAAAAGTTGAGTTGTTACTAGGAGTTGAATTACTTTTGCAAAGCACATAATATAACTGATTACACCGCTCATTTTCAGCATGCGTTCCCAAAGGGCTAATCTGGCAAATGGACATAGTGCCAGAAAAGTTGATCATTTTTAACACAGTGGGATTATGAAGTTCTAATCATAGGTTTCGTAGAGCCCTGATTGCTGCTCAGGATAGAATTCAAACCTGCTTGGCATAAGTTCTGGCGATCTTTTCAAGCAAAGTACTGATACAGATAGGTGAAACACACCATCATGACAACTGGCGTTTCCATTTTTACAATCCTTTTTTAGTTTTCTTTCGAATGCTTCTTTAAGCCAACTCTAAATACTCTCAAAATTAAAAGTGTAATTCTGTGTTATTCTTCTTTGCAAACTTTGTTATAGCTGGTTGTTTCTCAAACAACTTTAGTTTGAATTCCTTGTTCGTGTACTGCACTGTGATTGGTCAATATTGTTTAAGTGACCCTGGTTAGTGTAGCCACACTGTAAAATTATCATCTTTTTAATTTCAATTTTAGCAACAATGGAGCTGTCTTATGAGGACCTTACACTGTGGTCCTTAAAGTGGCCCTATCTTACTAGACTTTTCAGCTAAAAAGTCACTCACCATTTTAATGGTTGCCCATCATATTCAAACCACATTTCATCTACACTTTCATTACTGATTGCCCTTTGGAAATGCCGCTGTACTTTGTCTGTCACAAGGGTAAGGTAGCTTAATCTAGGCACTAAAAGCTGAAAAACATGATTCATTAATCGACACATTACTGAGACAACACAGCATACAGTTTGAGCAAAATGAGTTTATTGAAAAGTGTGAGGGTGGGAGTGGTGAGTAAAAGCTTACATCTCCTTTCCAGATCTTAAGAAAGATGAGGCCCTAAGACCCACTTGCTTGACTAAAAGAAGCATCCAATATCTCTTTCACTAGTTAATTAGCCATCATTAATCAATGATTTCTCAAATATGTTAAATAGAGTGAATTTACCAAACATCCCTCTGACACCAACATATACATGTACTTGTACATAAATAGCAGTGTCTTGGCACATACACTGTATGATGTTTTGAAAAAGGAAATATCTCATTAAACACTGATCAGTATACACATATTCTTCCCATATCAACCAGTTTCTAAATTACAACATACACAGCAATTACAACATACACATAATTTTATGAAATAATATATTTGTGGTGGGTTTCTAGCCTGTCTTAAAGGAAAAGGCTTTCTTTGGCAAGATATAATATAAACTAAGAACAGATACACTATGCTTTGCCTTAAATAATTTGTACATGTGCATTTTCTCCCACTTTTCAAGCTCTGGCTTGCATACAATCACCAGCTCTACTCAAGGAAAGCTGGAGAGTGGTGGCTGTATATACAACTGATAATCTTCCTTGCAATGATGAATAATTGTCCATGCGTTAAAACATTTTAGTGTCACAGCCTCGGATGTGGCACATATAAGACAACAGAGGAAAGTGCTATCTGTATGGGATATTTGAATAAAGCCAGTTAGACCAAAGATTAAAAAAAATCAGATCCCTCGGGAATAATAAAAAGTTGTTTGTAACGTTTATTAAATTACATGTATGTGGCTTTTAAACTTGAAAAAATTTTACCATCTAAATCTTGGGGGCTGGGACATTAAAACCTCAGGTGGGGAACAGTTTTGCCTGCTCAGTGGATGGGAGTTTGCCCGGGGGTTACTGGGGGGGGAGGGGTTGTTGACATTTTTTCCAATTGACTAAAGCATTAACGACTGTTATTTTTCAGTTATTTTCTGCATTCTGCGACAGGACAAAGAGTATTGAGCTTACTACTGCTGCAATCTTCTAGGAAATCCTGCATGTTCAAACGTGCCTTTCAACGACAACACAAATTTACCACACAGCAAGGAATATTGATATGGTGGCTACTTACATAGTATGGATCTGGCTGTTCTACAGTTACCACCTCATCTGAACTTAGATTGAAACACACTGGCAATCGGCCATCCCAGATAGATCGTAGTACTTCCCTGTCTTCCGCCATTTTGAAAGTAAAACATTCCCAGAAGTCATTTCGCGTTCACGTGTATTACATCACAACATGGCGGCACGCTTTGGGCACGTTGCTCGTCTGTCGAGAAGTCCTTCTTCAAAGTGTTACTCAACAAGTTCCCACTTGGTAAAGCATGACATTTCTTTGTTTAGAAGGTTGAGGAGGAACTATAAATACATTCTGGACGAGAACTTGGCCGCGAGAATAACTCAAAGTCTTGGAAGGTTACAAGACGATGTTATCATTGCAACTAATCCAGGTACTGGGGTATTAACAAGAGCGCTCTTCGAAGCCGGGGCGACTCATGTTATAGGACTTGAACCTGAAAGGAGATTTCATCCTATTCTATGGGAAATTCAACGTCAACTTTCAGATGAGAAAAGACTTGATGTGATTCATGGCGATTTCAGTAAAATTGACCCTCACATACTGACAGATGACATTTGTACACCTCCAGCCATTGCTTCTGAGGATGTTCTGCGCTTCGTAAAGCCACAATCATGGGAATCCGATAATTTAGCGGCGAGATTTGTGGGGGTTGAAGCTGCTATTAACCCATCAGTTCTCCACAGGACTATGATTAGACATCTGGGTTCTATATCTGCAAGAAATGGAATCTTCCAGAAAGGAAGATGTGAATTGGCATTTTTCTTTGAAGAGGATCGAGCTCAAAAAATCACTGCCAAGTTTGGGAGTAAATATTACAACAGACAATCAGTGATTGTGGAATTGTTGTGTGATGTGAAGGTGTTACTTAAAGAACCGTATTCTCTGTTTTACCCTGTACATGGAAAGCAGAAACACAAATATCTTACATTAGTCAGTATTGTGCCAAAGAAACAGCCTGCTGTGAACATTTCAAGTGGAGATCTGCATTATTTAAACTACTTCATAAGACTTCTGATGGTCAAACCGAAGAGCAAAGTTGTAAACACAATGGAAACCATCAACCCTGGTAGTGGTGTGATTTGTGAAGAGCTACAATTCCCTCATGATATGAGAGTAGGAGATCTGTGTCCTGAAGACATTGGTAAACTTGCAAGTGCCTTTTTCCAGTGGGAAGGCAAATCACTCAGTTTTTTCTATGATGTGGGAAGTAATGAAGTATTGCAGTAATTTGCTCTAGGTATACCAGCATAATACTAGTGGACAGGAGTTAATGACTGTGTGCTAGGATTACCATGAGCTGTTGACACTATTCCTTATTGTGCAGTTCCAGATAATATCGATACTCCCGCCACAGAAGGGTTGGAATTTCTGTGGGGGGTGGGGGTGGGGTTCTTTCTTCATCTTTCAGTTTCGCGCCTTTTCGAAAGATATTTGAGAAATCCTGGATCCAATTTCACTTCTCCCCAGTCTACCTCCAGCGGAACCAGATATACATGTTTTACAACGACANGGGGGGGGGGGGTCTTGGAAAATATCCCTTTTATGGGGAAGGTATGGATATTTTCTGGAACTACACATTTCAACAACCAAATTTACAAATTAATGACCAATAAATAAGTGACTAAACGTTTTTTACATTTTCAAATGATAATGATATATTTTCTGAACGTCTATCAAGTTATAGAAACAGTTGTTTTGAAAGCTTGATAGCAACACGAGTTACATGTATTTCCTTCTTAATAGTATGAGCCAAAATTTTGTTCCAGTTACTACCGTCTCTTGCATCTAAGTTTGAACACATGACGCCAAAACATGCTCTAATTGGGTGTCAAACATGGCATGATTGGTCATCAAACATTTGAAGTTTAGCTTGACATGAACTTTCCTGCTCAAAATGTTCACTATCTTGATTTGATCAGTGATTGTTTCCAATTCTCTCTTCTTCTCCATGACTTCTTCTGTTTTCAATTTAAGTTCATTCTCCTTGCTCTTGATATAACATTCAACTGGGGACAACATATCGAGTTTGCAAGTCTTACTGACACCACTATATGAGCTAGTTTGGTGAACTTGATGCCTCAAGCTTTCAAACAGTTTTATCATGCTTGCACTCTGGCTGGGATTGCCAGTAAAGGTAGCTGAGATGTCTCTTCTGGAATGAAAACTAATCTTGGACTTTCATCAATTTTTTTTGACACAAAAGAGGAGCAATGCTCTGCAGTTTTGACTTTGGGTGTATGGAGTTTTGTGACCATGTTTAAAATCAGTCATCGATGTCCTTTAGGGATTTATATTGAAGGACTCTGAAAGTCTTGCTCCGGCTAAAATTTCATGGTTATACTACTGTATAAGTAAAACCACTTTCACGAAAGGGGTATGCATATTGACACAGGTCAGGTTCAATTTCTCTGAAGAAGTGTTCAATGTCAAATCTTTCTGCCATTTCATGTGCTGAACTTTTAGTGCAAAAGTTCACGCCACGATCTGCTAAACTTCAAATGTTGGATGACCAATCATGCCAAATTTGACACCAAATTAGAGCATGTTTTGGTGTTACATGTTCATGCATAGATGTAAGCGACGCTAGTAGACATTTGCCATCTACAACTGAAAGCAATTGGGTTTAGGAGTTGTATTGAGCCTCACCAACCCAACCCTTCATTTTCAAAGTAAAATATGTCTTCCATCACAAATCTGCTGCAATGTTGTGTTTTCAGTGTACACAGCTTCTGTGACCAACTGTTTCAGAATTTCCTGGATCTGTCTTGGCACATTGTAGTGGTCATCCCATGGTTGATTGTTTGCTAGCCATGTTTGCCATTGCATTGCCTTTGAGAGGTGAATTATTCTTTATATCTGGCTGTAAAATTCCTAAGAGTTTCCATTTTAAGGGAGATATTTTGTAGTGTCTACAAACACAAAATAAGATATCAACCATCATTCTTTTTGTTGTTTTTTTTTTTTCCCGTATAAAGGGATCAGCTGTACCTTTTTGACTATTCACTCTCAGGAAATATAGCTTAATCCATTGTCAAAAAACCTAACTAGTCAATAACTTCTAATATGTGCCCTATTAAGTACCCCGCAAGATATTGATTCCCTTCTCTTTCTGCTTGGTGAGATTCACAGTTAGTTGAGGGGCACATAGTAAGTGTCCCAATAATTTTTTAGTGTGTGTGTGTGTTAGTCTCCTTCGCAGCCGTTATTAGGGTCGTCACGCAACGCTTCTTCCCCACTGTGGGGGAGAAGCGTTGCGTGACGACCCTAATAACGGCTGCAAAGGAGACTGTGTGTGTGTGCTAAATAAGTGTCCCTATTCCTCCAGGTGCCCCTGTACTAATAATCGTTCTCTTGGTTTAAGTGCACCAATTCCAATAAGTGCCCAGTTTGCAAAATAAGAACAACGTATAAAAAGAAATTTAAAACCCTGGCTTCAATTGACATTATCCTGCATTGCAGAATCAATGGTATCCCTAGCGTCACAATTGCTTCTTTCATGTCAGGGTTCAATTCCTTCAAATGGAAGATCTCACTTCTAGACACGTTTATTTCAAAAAACACAAATAAGCCTCCTTTAAACATCAAAAATAAAATGAATACCCAGCTGCTAAATTAGGCAATGAATAAATTCTTGAGCAGAGTACACATCAAATGATTTTATCAGAGTGACTTTTTTACAATATGTCAACAACAGAACTTTAAATTAGTTCCTGATCAGCTTTTGTCATTTCCAGACGATTTTCTGTCATTCCCAATAAAGCTGATTAAAATTTTCTGTTATGCCGTTTTGAAAACAAATTTAGCCCTGTAAGACAAGTAAAAAACTGTGGTTGTATTCCAGTGACCCTTGCCATGAGGTAAGAAACAAAAGCATAGGACCCCTAGTCCAGTCACTCTCTGTCACGAAACGCTACACCCTGGGGAGAGAGGTACGTGACAGGGAGGGTCAGAACTGGACTATGGTGACCCCAGCCAGAGAGGGCCGTAGCTACATCAATGAAATGGACACTGCAAGACTCAGAGACTCCTGAGGACACTAATTAAATTTCTTTTTTAATGACAGTTTCTGGAGATTTTATATTATTTTACAGTTTATTTATACATTTTACAACTGTTGCTCAGTTTGAGGCGAAATTTAACAAAAGCTCGTGAAAGCTTCCGACATTATGGGGATTCAGTGAGAGAGAGAACTAAGGACTAACAGCGCATGGACTGAGAATGAAGCCGTGAATGATTTGCAATACAGATGAGAATGCTGACTTTTCTTTATCAAGTATATTATCTAAAACGGTATTCTTACACTTGTAAAAGATATATTGATTATTTTCTTTTGCAAAGGTTTGCGAAAACGTTGAAACTGAACATTTGTTAAATTTGCATCACCTAAAAACGTAGAAAATGTGAAACATACTATCCTGACACCAACAGGGTTCTTGGTAGCATGCAGATCATCACCAGTATCACAAAACCCACAATTAGCCCCGCTAACATGTTATCTTGAAGTTGCTGCTGTGTTTGAAGCTGCTCCTCAACCTCTCTTTTCAGTTTTTCGTAACTTTCACTTCTTTTCTTTAACTGTTCTTCGTATTCGTTGAGTTTCCGCTTCAACGAGCGTTCTCTTTCACCTTTGAAAACAAAAAATGCTTTTAATAAAAAAGGAAAAAAAATGTCGAAAGCATTCAGTCACAGCTTGCCCTATCCACTCTTTTTTTTCTGAGAATATTGTTTTTCCGGCCGAGGCTGAATATTCTTATTTTTCTGCCGATTTTAGGCTGACAATATTCTTGTAAATATTCTTAGATTACAGCTTATGACATTTCTGTTTTCGAATGTATTTGGTGCCTCGTTGGTGTTAAAGTAATTTTGGAGCATAACCTGCAGGCCTGATATGACGCACAAAACTTCTCGCAGCAGAAATGTTTTAAGCATCGAACACACGGCTAGTGCTGTTTCTGTTGTTTTTTGGCTAGTTTGCCGTTTAGAGAAAGGCAATATTACGTATTTTATTCCAACTTTCAAGGAGAGTTCGAATTTCGCGCCTCTGAATGAAAGATCCTTCAAAAGAAATACAACAGTTTTTAATTGACCAGAGAGTACTGACCTTTTTTCTCGTCCAACATTTCTCTGATAATTTCGATCTTGGTGATGTTACTCTCAAGCCGCTCTTCGTGATTTTTCAGAATCCTTGTGTGATGCTCAAGTCTACTCCAAGGATCACCTGACTCGGTCCGCTCGTCATCTTCGTTGGTTGATCCAACCAGTAGATCAAACACAACATCTTGCAGGTTGGACTGAATATCTGAAGCAAGAAGACAGTGGACTAAACAAATGAAAATGACTCTTTCTAACGGAGACTTAAAAAAACAAAGTAAATAAATTACAATATTTAGAAAGAGAAAGTCGACCGCATCAACCTTAGCTAGTTTTCATGTGACTCCTCTAGATCTATCCTGGTGGAATTGGAATTTAGTGTTGGGTTTGCAGAATGAGGAAAACCGGAGAACCTGGAGAAAACCCTAGCAGCAAGAGAACCAGCAACAAACTCAACCCACATATGACACCGGGCCCGGAATCGAACCCGGGCCGCATTGATGGGAGGAGAGCGCTCTTACCCCTGCCACCACCCTGCTCTACTCTCCTGATTTTTCAAGAATAATCTCCCGGGACATAATGATATATCACTACCTTGGGTACCTTGATTCTTGACATTTTTCTTTCATTCCTGACAAGAATGAGCTGTTCTCGAAACAGAGCTTCTTCGAGACTTGTCAACTCCATGGAAATTATTTGCAATGACAAATTCACCTTTCTTCCAGTTGTCAAGGATAACCAGAACATTTGCACTAACTTCCTTTAGATAAAGATGATTTTACTTTTTACCTTTCTCGGTTTGTTTCTCTTTCTCCTCGTGCTCCGCGGTAAGTTTATTAATAACATTTTCTATCTCTTTTATCTTAACACCATGGTCCTCCAGAAATTTTCTTTGGTTATCTAACAGACACTCTAACGTTTCCAGTTTCTTGAACAATTCCTCTGTGGGTAAGTGTTCAATTTTGTGTACTGATCCATAATCTCTATTCTGTTCCTTGGAGTCTCCACTTGTTAAAGACTTTTTCTCTGGACGACTGCTTTGGGACGACGCTGTACATTAAAATTCACATCGATATAAATCAGCAAGCAGTGGACATACTATGAAAACAGTTCATTTTAGGTTCAGATAAAAAACGTAAACAGTAACTGAATTCAATTCAATTCTTTTATTTACACCATATAGGGGATTTTAGATACAATGAAAGATATCTTGTAATATAATATTGGCCGTTTTCACACTAGAGACGGATAATCCGTCTACGACGGGTTATCCGTCCATTACGGATAATTCGTCTTAGTGTGAAAACGGAACGGGGCTCATTTTAGACGGATAATCCGTCTATTTTTATCCGTCCGATTATCCGTCTATATAGACGGATAATCGGACGGATATAAATAGACGGATTATCCGTCTCTAGTGTGAAAACGGCCAATGACTTTGTAATATAAAAAATATCTTTGTTATATAATAATGAATGGAGGAAATAATAAAACAAAACAAAACAATTTAAAGGTAAAGTAATGAAAATAGTAAAACAAGTTAAAAAATATGAAGCCGTAAGGAAATAAAATTTCTTTGTGAGCGGTGGTTAAAGTAGCAAGAACTTATATAGTCTTCATGCTCTCTTGTCGTCGGTTAAAGTGACATGACGAATTAAAATCATGACAAGATAAGTGTTGTAACTGATCAAGACAAAATAAGCTGCAACTGTTACAATGCGTTGTTCCCATAATGTTTTAGAACCAATTCATCAAGCCTTAGTGGAACGCTTGAGAACTTCAGTATGTTTGTACACAAAAACAATTTTAGTTCAGTTACGTTTACTTGTACTAGTTTTTAAAACGTTCATACCTTGAAGGAAAACTTTATAATGTAAATACGATCGATGAATTTAGGTTTGTATTGATGAATCATGGTTTCCTAGCGCGAACTTTGCTTCAAGCAACGCTTCCCTTCAATGTAAAAATATGAATAGATAATTCGGACGCGGCGTTATTGATAATGAGTTTCACAGAATCTATGGAGGACAATAATAAAAAAATATAGAAAAATCTACTCAGTAAACATCGTAAGAGAGAGAAATTTTTTAAAATGAATTACGCAGAAGTGCCGGATGTGCGTATACTCTTCACCAATACACAGCTAATAGGGATACCTTGAACACAATAGCTGGTCAACTAAAAACTGAAGTCTATTAGTGAACAATGTGGAAAGTTACCAATTAAGAATTCACAAACATATATGTGAAATGTAAATTACGGAGCTAGTTTATCTGTTAAAGTGCTAATCTTCATGGACTAATCGGAGCCTCAAGAGATATTTCTTTCGTAATAGATGACAGTTTCATAAATATTCATTAGATGAAATTATGCAGCCAGTATGGATCTCATTCTTATTATCGAAGCAGAAATGACGCTTTCCGACAAAGAAGATAAAAATTTGGATGAAAGAAGTTTCATTTTGCTCTACAAGGAGGTGCATCATTTTTGAAATGTCGTTCCACAAAAACTCTGTATTTGGCAAGTAGGAACGGTTCAAACCTCAAACAGTTTAGGTCAAGGTGTCCATCGAAGATCAATTTAGAATAATTCAGTTGCTTTCTGATCTTCGCTGCAAGTGCGGGAATTTAGCTGACATTAGGAGCATATCTTCTGCCAAAGTATAAAAATATCTCTAGTTTTGGGCCAAAATAACAATGTAAATATATGCTGCAATGTCTGTTTTTGAAACTATCTGGTGATAATAACAGCACATGTATGAATCCAACAACATCACGGAGTCACGGAATATGCAACGTCCGTGTCACCATTTTCTTCGTTTCAGTGTCGTTTGATTGTAAGTCCACAAAAGATAAATTCATGTTTCTGTCAAATTTTGAGTATTTTTATTCGAAGCATTTTACCACAAACTACCGTTTTTTAACTGTTATCATAAAAGTGTAAATGGCAAATAAAAGTGATATATTTACCCTGTTTTGCCTTGTCGTGCGATAACTCAAGTTTTTCGCGCCATTCCTTGATTTTCACCACCAACTGGCCCATTTGCTCGGCGAAGATTAACCGGGTTTCAGACGGATAGCTTCTTTCAAGAGTGCAAAACAGCGCCTATCTAAGTCCCAGAATTCGTCCCCACTAAGTAAGTTGTAAAAAGACCACATATGTTTAACATTCAAATTAATTCTTTCGTCTGGAGTCTCTTGTGCTTCATGTTGTTTTCACTCAAGGGATGCAGCTGTGAATTTCTTTGCAGTTTCATTGGTTAAACGATTATTATCTCACTTCATCATATTGCCTGAACGATTCAGCGCTAAAATTCATCGATTGTTAAAATTTCCTTTGCGTGCAGGTGTAGTGCATGTCAGTTTATCTATTTATTTATTTACCCGGTCGCAAAGATCGCGTCGTTTGAACTATGTTAACAAGAAAATATCAACTGGCACGAAGACTTCAGAATTCAGTGCATGCTCAGTAAAGATGATTATACTGCGCAAAAATTTGGCTCAGTTCTTTTTATAGGTTTGTAGAATTTCGAATAATGCACTTTAATATTTGGAGTCATTGTTGAGTCAAAAAATAAGCAGGAAGCATTGTTAGCATCAATATATTTGTATTAAATAATTTACCTCTTGTCGGCCTAGTCATTGAAAATATTCAAAGTCGTTTTTTATTAGCTCTTCGACATATCCGTTAGCCGCTATGGTGGAAAAAAGAATATTTGCCTCTGAATAGTTCACCTCTTTCTTGTTCCGCATCTAAAGCGAGCTACCCTAGGCAGCCTGAGGATATGGTCAAACAATTATAATATTTTGGAAAGTGGTAGAAATGTATTAATCTCTTCAATAAATTTCCCAGTCATCTACACTAAGCGATCGGCGACACCATCTGCGTTCATCCAAAGATTTGCATACGAAATTGAAGAAAATAATTGCAAGAAAACAACCTGGCAAAACGATTGTCCAGTTTTGAAAGGAAAGTTTGACGGACAGGTTTGGGGCGGTCCCTTTTCGCAAAACTATTAGCAGATTCATGACTAACATGATGACTGGACAAATTTTAAAAAGTACTTTTAAGTTTTAGCTGTATCACGCTGGGTGCATAGAGAACCACATCGTGCAGAAAGTCAGCTACAACTCTCGCAAAGTTCCATAGTTTAACGATAACAAGTTTACAAAGAAAAAAAAAGGCTCTGACGTTGGGTATCGTATACTCTCCAGCTGTAACTATTTAATTAATTGTTTGGAAGTGATCTACGTCTTTTTTTTACCTCGCGTACTCAGAAGGATAAAAGGATGTTTCGTGCTAGTACATAACCATTGAACCGGGATTAAACCCGGTATTCAAAGGCCTTATCATCAATATTTTATCGCGATAATGGTTTGAGTAACTTTAGAATTGAATAGCATTACTGTTAATCTTTTTAGGATTAATTAAGGATAAATTGATTAAAATCGCTGCCATGCCCCCGATACACTTCATTCTCCCGTTGTTGTTGTTTTTTTTATTCCTATTGCAATTACAAACAAAAGTTATCCCATTATTGTCAGTTTATCGAGATTCAACAGTTGCTATCACTGTAAAATTTCGCTTATAGCGGACTAACAACCTAGCTACTCTCATTCTCAGACGGTCCGGGTCGCTCGCGGCCACGCGCTTTCGTCCCTGATCGATGACAGCAACAGGATCGTGAGATTCAGTATCACGTGCAGCGTGATACATGCTCTAATTAACGTTTTCACTCTGTAAGTTTATTTCTAATCGTATTAAATTTTTCCGAGCCAAAGGGTTCAAATCGATTAAATCTAGCCACGTCTAAAAAATTGTGAACACGGATCTAAAAACTAATTTATTTAAGAAAAAACGCATTTTGCTGTTCTGTTGACTTGTTCCGCGGGGTTTTAAATCGGATCCGTAAATTGGGCAACTGTTTAAATTTTCGATTCAGTTATTAGCCTGTCACGGTGATGGGCTCCTGATTTAGTTCGATCTGAAGTTAAATCACAAGAGCTCATATTCTACGGCCATTTCAACTTTAACAGAAATGATATACACACTGGGGTTATAAACAAGACAACACAACGCATGTTAAAAAAAACTTTGACTAATGACTTGAAGATTCGTATGCTTCAACAGACATCCGGAGAGAGTGGCGCAGGGTAGAATAAAATCCGGTTTAACTGCTACGAAGAAAGACTGGAATCTGATTATAAAAGTAATAACAATGGTGATTTACTGATAATTTACAGGCCTATCGTAAGGTTAGCTGGAAAATATTTTAACATGTATACAAGGTTGGTAAAGAAAAAGTTTCTTGCTAACCACAGTTTCATTAAGACCATTTAAAGCTGCGTTTAAATCCCCCTAATCAATAGTGTCTCTTGTGGACCTACAATCCACGGCCTAGGTCCTTGCGCCCCCCCCGTCCCGGTCTGTGGTACGCCTGGATCAGATAGCAAGAAAATGCGTTGACAAGCTATTTTGGGAACAATAGTTCATTACGAGAATAGAGAAACCCCTCCCCCCGACAAAGTTGTAAACGAGCAATGATGACTTCATTACGACAAACAACATTGAATTGGAGGGGACCGGGGCGAACTGGATTTCTCTTACAGACATTACAAAAGTGGACAAGCGTGCCAAGACTTTTGTCAGGGATTGTAGCTTGCAATAAAGGCTCGTGTGAGGAATATCATTTAAAAGAGACTGATGTCATCAGCATTTGAAAACACTCCTCACATTAACCTCAGTTGCAAGCTAGTCCCGGTCCAAAACCGAGAACACGAATATGGTCTATAAACGTCATGGAGCTTGATATGTAGATAGAACCCTACCCTGAACTAAATAAGCATAATAAAAACATTGTAATTCAAACTTGTTTTTTTATTATTTTCCTCAACAACAGCAAAGCGCCATTTACACAACCTTCACAAACTGATCATTATACAAAAAAACATCAAACTTGAGCTTGTGATGATTTCAATCACGGCACTCGCGTGCGAATAACTTACACTAAAGCAACCGGCGAAGTAGTTCGATAAGAAGTACTAACGCCCCAAAAACAACCCTCACTCTAAAGTAAACTAAAGTTACTCAGCATTTTTATCTTCTCTGACGCTACTATTTCATTTTCTACTAACACAAAACTAATTTGAAAAAGTAAAGGAAGTTAACTGTTTGCCTCACTCAATCCAATGTATACCACGTTAATTTTACGGTATATTGTGAGATCTTTTTTTGTTATAAGTACTCTTTTATTCAAACCTATTTAAGCTAAAAGAACCTGAAAAATGTTACACTAGCAAATTTCAAGCTATCCTAGACTAATGTATTTTAAAATCTATTCATTAACGCTTAACCAAACCTTTACATAAGCCACATAGTACCTTAACTAAGGTTTTATAAATCATCGAATACAATCAATAGTATAAAATATCTGTCCTATGATGTCAATGACTGATCATTCTAAAATCAGTCTCTTACACGCAAAATCGTATAATGGAAATACGAAAAGTTTAGAAAAATACTTGATTTGGGAATAAATATAATTTTCTCTGTGAACAATCCTGTACACTACTGGGTTAACAAATCGATACTAATTTGTATAATTAATAGTAGAAAGCATAGCCATGTATATAAACATAAACGTTCGTCTATTATTTGGTTATAATTAAGACGTGAAAATATAAATGTTGTCAGCCGCTTTATGTTGTTATTGTTTGATATTAAAGTCAACTTCACTCATCTTCAGGAGTGGGGGAAAAACGCGAACGGCGAACAAATCTTTTTCTTTTCTTGTCGTTTATGACGTCACTTCCGCCTGGCTGACTGTTGTGGCACACATCACCCACATACGTCACATCCACGTGTTTTCCTTTTTCTTTCCGGATGACAAATCTCACTTTCACGTTACACTCTGGTCGCTTGCATTCCGCTCCTCCTCTGAAGAACACCGCTGAGTGGATTTTCCGCGAGTTTTCTGATCTCACGTGATTATTCTTGAAGCGCAAACTGCACCATGGGTTGCTTTCTTTAACTTTGCTGAGAAAGATTCGAGTCCAGTCCCCACTCAACAATCGGCCTCCACTTGGAAATGTGTTGATTGGAATTCTCTTCCAGTCTTCTTTCGTCAACTTAAATCTTGCGGTTGTTCCATCGATGTTCTTTCGAAAATACTTTTCGGGTTTTCCGTCTTCATCACCTGCATCTGATGAATCAGAATCGTCCTGCAAGAAACGAATTTTTGTACGGTACAAATTATTGAGACGCTCCAGAACCGGAAAATTCATAGTGACAGCTATCAAACAGCAAACAGGGGTTTTTGCTAGGCACTTTCGTAGGATTTGCATCAGCACAATCGCGGTTGTGTGATACGAAAGAACTTAACCGTGACAGTGTAGACTCAGTAGCAACAAATCTATGTCTCTGAGACAGGACTGTACGCGCAGTTTCTCGCAGTTGCTAAAAAATTAAACTAAGCGCGCTATTTTTTTGATTGAATACACTCTCTCTTTTTTTATAAGAATACACTTTGTAAGAATATCGAGGCTGAAATTTGCAATGAAATTTGCGAAATTATTAAAAGGAATATTTTAAGAATAGATCCGAGGCTGAGAATTTTGAAAATAATTTATTTTTTGTGCTGAAAATACAATACAATTATATGTTTTAACTAAACTGTATAAAAATTATTCCTTCCCTAAACGGCAAAACTAGTGAAAAAACAACAACAACAAAAGCAGCACTAGCTGTATGTTTCTGCAGGAAGTTCTGTGTGTCCTATCAGGCTTTATTGCCTGCAGTCTGGCTCAAAAATGACTTCAACGCCATCAAAGTCGTGATAGAACAGATGATTTGACGTTCTGTCGGCATAGTCCGCTTTTTATTCCTATAATAATTAATTTAAAAATATTCACAAGAATATTTACCGCCTAAAATCGAAAGAAAAGTAAGAATATTCAACCTGGGGCGGAAGATAATATTCTTATATAAAAAAAAGCGTAGTCAAAATGAAAAACTTGGCGAGTGCTCTAACAGAGATTTACCACGATGGCACTTGTTTTCCTGTCTAAACAGAGACTAGAAGAAGAGTAGAAAACGGAAGTAAGTTTCTTAGAAATTATGCAACAAAATTTAGGAAGACTATTTTACTTTCAAGCTTATCAGCGTCAGGAGACCGCTGACAAGTTTGAGCTGTAACTATCTTTGCTTCTGTTTTAAGTTAATTTTATTGTTAAGGTCATTGCTCACATTTGCATTGCGCATCCTTGCTGCGCATAATTTATGGCGTCATTAGCGCGCGCTTGTGCACGCGCATATTGAACACATGACGAATTTGCCTTGATATTGAGCTCTGTCAGTTGAAAAATGGCTCTAGCTCACCA